TTTTTTTTTTTTTTTTTTTTTTGGATAGGTCTGAAGAAGATTGAGGATTAAAGTATAAATAACTCTTGGAAAATCTTCCCTCTCATGCATTTTAACTTCTCTAAACGAGTCATACAAGCTTGCCTTTCATATTTTATTTAACAAACTTATATAATATTTCCTATGGGCAACTACTAGTCTAAGCAATTCTGACTCATTTGCCCCCACGTGGTAAGGATTATTATTATCCTTGTTTCAGACAAGGGAGCTGGGGTATTTGCTGGCGGAGCCACTGACTAACTCACTTAATCACTGTGATCCTCCATTTTCCATTTGTGAAACTGGGGTAATATACTCATTCAGATATTGATTTCTCATACGGAATACGTTTTTATGTCTAATATATTAAACATTCGTAGAAAATGCTTAAACTAAGTGAAATTGAATCACTTATATTGCCACTGGGGGCAAGGGCAAGAAAATTTATCTTTAAAATAAAATCTCAGAAGAAAACATATATAACAATTTATCTTTAAAATAAAATCACAGAAAAGATTATATTATATATAATTACATTATAAAAGTAATAACATATAGGACATATAATGATGCATCTATGTTATAAACATTATAATAACCTCTAAAATATATAGAATATCTAAGTGAGAACTACAATATTTGACCCACCTATGTGAAAATACTAACACAAAGAAGCAAGCACCATACTAAGAGCAAATAGTTCAGCTTTAATAACACTGAAGAGCTTTTGGAAAATAACATTGGAAAGAGTTGCTCATATATATAAATATCTGTATCTCCGCTCAAGGTGGTTTATATTCGCTGGATTTTAAAACTTACAGCAAGATCATTACATAGGATCTGCAAGTGTTAGCTTTCCTTGTTGTTCCCGTGTTGTAGGTGGCCTTGGGAGAGGAACTCAGGAAAAGCACTATAATTTCTAGGTGGGCAGCATTTGCATCCTGATTTCTGTAGCCATTATTTCCTTGTCTCTCTGAGCACTGACCTAAATTCCTAAATTGTGCACTATTCATATATTTCAACAATTGGCAAACCGATCAATAGTTGGTTGTTAAATTCTGTGATCACATTAGCAATGAACAAATTGCTACAGAAAGAGTTTTGGCCAGATGTTACAAAGAAGTGTGAAGAGAACACTTTATAGTCCTAAATTTCTTTTCAAAGAAAATAATCCCTCAGTGCCTTTTAAATGTAAAATACGATGATATGAAAGGTTGTTCATCTTTAGATCCATATAGAGTTGGGAATGACGTGAAAACAGCTTAGCAGCCCATCTTTCTTTTCACACTGTCACCACTCTGTGCACCTCCTCGACACCTCTGGCCTGGCTATGACAACAGGCTCCTCAGACGTTCCACACCTGCAGTTTCTTACCACTGCTATCCATCCAGGGAGGCGCCAAAAATGTTTTCTGACAACACCGCCCTGACTGAAAACAGCCAGTGAGTTTTTAGACTCCATCATATCAAGCCCACAGACCTCTGATTGGTTTTTGAAGTCTTTGGTCAAATCTCTCAACTTAAAATATCTAACCTGCTTCCCAATATGCGTTTTCTCGTCTCTTTACTTGTCCAAATCAAAACCATCTTTTAAACCCTGACTACAGTCCTACCTTTTCCACTAAGTTTTGTAAACTCCCAAACCAGATTACTGTAATCCAGCAGTTCTCAACCTGTGGGTCTCGACCCCTTTGGGGGTCGAACGACCCTTTCACAGGGGTCGCCTAAGACCATCGGAAAACACATATATAATTGCATATTGTTTTTGTGATTAATCACTATGCTTTAATTATGTTCAATTTGTAACAATGAAATCGGGGGTCGCCACAACATGAGGAACTGTATTAAAGGATTGCGGCATTAGGAAGATTGAGAACCACTGCTGTAATCTCTTCCAACTAGATACCCCTCTGGGGTTCATGTCCAATAAAAGTGAATTGAGCACTTTGCTTGGTCTCTCTCTAATTACTTCATGTCTCACTCTAATTGTTTCCTACCTGTTCATGTATATTTTTTTCTGTAGTTTATAAGCTCCTAAGAACAGTGACCATGCCTTATCAATCCCTTGAGCCCTTTCAAACATTCAGACCTTGGTAAGACTTAAAATATACACTGATGAATGGCCTTCTGGATACATGACGGCTCAAAATAGGGAGGGAAGAGGCTCCTTGTTTCTCAAAGGAATGAGTAGACTCCAATCAAGTTGACCCTTCCTACTTAGAATTCTATTGCAACTTTATAGTGTATCAAACTCAGGCTCCTGGAATCCAGCCAGAGATCAAAGCCTTGAAACAGCGTTTTTACAATAGGTTTAAACTCCAAATCTTTCTCCAAGACCACTCTGGCTTAAAAAAATTGGGTTTAATGAACATTTAATGTTAGAATCAACATTATTAACTAGACGTATGCTGTTCAATATAGTAGTTATATAGGGTACATGTGGCTGCTTTAAAAATAATTAAAATATAATAAAATAAAAATTAGCCTTTCATTCACACACACTAGCCACATTTAGAACACTCAGTAGCCAATGGCGACTGTTTTTGGACGGTATGGATAATAGAAAAGCCATTAGCACAGAAAGCTCTACTGGACAGTGCTGAAGGCTAGCTGAACTCTCACCAAGACCTGGATTATTTGTTGGAGTAGCTTTGCACTTACGGTATAAAGTGCTAGGATCAATTCTGTGAGTAGGCAAAGTAGATGCCCACCTCACAATGTGGTTTGAGAGGTATTGGGAAGGCTCACAACCCTTGTTAGGTTCTCCTGGCCAAGAATTGGAACAGCAGGTTAGAGCTTCATCACCTTAGTGTAGGCCAGCGGTTCTCAACCTGTGGGTCGCGACCCCTTTGGGGGTAGAACGATCCTTTCACAGGGGTCGCCTAAGACCATCGGAAAACACATATAAATTACATATTGTTTTTGTGATTAATCACTATGCTTTAATTAGGTTCAACGTGTAACAATGAAATTGGAGGTCACCACAACATGAGGAACTGTATTAAAGGGTCGCGGTATTAGGAAGGCTGAGAACCACTGGTGTAAGCCAATAAGGGCTCCTCTGCCTGGTGTTAAATGTTCCAAGGGAAATACCATGCCTACAGGGAAATACCTAAGCTCGTTTTGAGCATTCAGTTGCGTGGGGACAGCATAAAGAAATGTTGGATGAGCTGAAGCTCCTGAGAGGGTAAGAGGAAAGCACAGTGGAGGAAGGGTCTGGAAAGTGGTGTGCTTCACAGGTGTGACTAGGTCCAGTCCTGAGCACCATTTGAGAATGGAGTGATTGCCAAGGATGGCAAATCTGGGGCAATCCCAGATGCATATTTACTAAAGCTGTGTAGGCATCTCTTAAAGAGTAAATGGTGTATGGAGAAGGTCCGAGGAACGCTAAGTAGGTAAGTTATAGAAAGGAAAAGTTTGGGCACTTAAACTGTATGTTTGAATATCTCATTATCCCTCCTATGGCCAACTTCATTAGCACTATGAGGGAGGAGCACAGTGGACAAAACTGATATTTTATACACCGTATGCACTCTTCCTCTCTTCAGTGAATGTGGGTTCCTATGAAGGCATGATCTGGGTGCCTACTGACTCATGAACTGGGTCTGAAGACTTAGCCCCAAAGAACAGCCTGTGATTGTTCAAGGTGACTGCTTTGAAGTACACTATTCAGACTTACACATTTAGTATGTTCGTTAAAAATTCATTCTCTACTTTCTTAAGTCACAGTTAATGGTCTCAAGGTAAATCTAGACAGGCAAATATAACATGAAACACTGAGTTTCCCACCACTGCTAGTACTGCGGATGGGTTCTCCCCTCTTGGCCAACCAGCTACCTGCCCGTCCTTAGAAATCTTACACTGTTATGGCATTAGACTCTGGGCTCCGTTCCCTAAAAACACCTCTGTGGGGTTTCTTTCAACTCGACTTCACACACAGGAAAACCTTCTTGTGGAAATCATTCAAGTTGATATATCTCCAAATGACTTAGGTAAGTTGATCATATGAAACATTTTTTTAAAATCAGAAACAACATAATATGAAGAAGTTAATAAATGTGTTCATTGTGAATATGACAGCATTGTTCAGCGATTTGCAAAAATACAATAGAGTTAGTTAGACTGGTAAGTGATTGAAGAACGGAAACGAAAGAACGCTAACTCAAAGTCATTGTTAACCCTGGAGAGAGTTTTATGATGTGGTAAAAAGCTCTGCCCTTAGCCATATGCCACTGAAAAGATGTTTCAGCACTTGTGATATAGACAGAGAAATTAAGTTTTCTATGCCATAAAAACCAGAAGGAAGGATTATATGATAACGTCAGGGATGTTCATCAAAAATACAGATCCCTGGACTCTGGGAATTTAATCTGTGCTAGTTCGCTTGATGATACCCATTCCCACTAAACTTGAGGAACATAGAACATTAGAAGATCCAACAGGTCCAATACACTGAAACACATAGATGGGATACATTTTGATTGTAAGAATTATACCTCCAAAATAAAAATGAAAATACTTATGTTGCTTCCTTATTATATAAATTTGAGGAATTTGAGCGTGGAAAATAGGGTAGAAAGGAAGTTTAATAGCAGTTCCTGTTCAGATGGGAAGTCCTGCTCCTGTGGGGAGGAATCCCGCACTGGATGAGAGGTAGCACCTTTTAAGATAACTTTTATCTGAAAGCCGGTAAGATGGTTAGGCTTTATAAGAGAACAGTCAGTGTCAAAGAGTATTTAGTGCTTTGAGTTATAAATATGCATAATCAAACATGTCATGAATTGATTTTGCCTAGACTTAAATCTAAAATGGAAAAGTGCTTCAGGATTTCACAGGACTTCTGGAGAACATCTTCCGTAGCTTTAAACCTATTTCTAGTTTCAGAATGCCGCGTTATTATATGCAGAGCTTCTCGCATTAAATTCCACCTTGCCCCCACTATGTCCCTTACCCACCCCCCCCAATGGGTAAACAGGTTCTTACCACGGAAATGGAGTTGGTAAGCAGTGCTCCGTCCTGTCCCAGCATGTTGGACACGGTGATTTCAGGTAGGTCCATGTTTTGCGGATGAAATGGTAGCAGGCCATTATGGTTCATTGGGTGACACAGAGAGTGGTAACCAGTTTCAACTTCATTCAGGTGCACCAGCGAGTGGTCGGGGAGGGAAGGAGGAGTGATCGGTGGGATGTTGAAGTCCTCGCTTTCCAGGCTCGGACCAGGATAGGACTGCAAAGACACAGAGTGATATTACTGCCAATCGTTACTTCCTTTTTCTCATTATGAACAAGATCACACCCCCTCCCCCTTCAGAAATTATTACTGGCAGTATTATGGATTCGGCAAAGACATTTCAAACACTCAGATTACCCTGCTGCCGTTTCACTACTATGCACGGAAGAAAATTGCCTCAAAGGCACATCCACTTCTCATACAAGGAGTGCTTCCATTAGACAGTTTTATTTTTCAAGAAACTGAACACAAACAGATTTCCAAAGTCCCATTAAATGTTTCCAGAGTTTTAATCTCGCTTAATACCTTTTTCATAAGAATTGTGGGGAAGGAAGGCAATTTATAAAGTTAATGTTTGATCCAACATGTTTCATAAGACTCCCTACTGCTCAGATCACGAGATGTAATAAAGTGAATTCCAGAAGTTCTGGGGCAATTTGCTTTTGGGTTTTGAAAAGCTACATGCTCACAACTGGCAAAAGGCAAGTAATTAGTAAGGAAACAACTTAGGCAATGTGGCATAAGTGTGGTTGCATAGAAAGTTTGAGATATGAAAAAAATTTCACTAAAAACGATTTTTATCACAAGAATTATATCATTAAAGTAAACATAAAGTTAGTTCTTTTTATTTCTGACTATTCAATTTATTTAATTTATAAAAGTTAATGTTTAGTTTTCATAAATAATATTGCAGTCACGTAAATTCAGTCCAGCCAATTCTGAAAGGCAAAATTAACACACATTTCTTATAATACTAACTTAGAAATAAAAGTCACATCAGTGAAATAAATAACAACATAGGTAGGACTATTTCACATAGAAAGTAACTTTAGATAAAAGAGGAAGGGAGGGAGCATAAAAAGGAAGGAAAGATGACATGAAGAAACCCCTGCCTAAAAATGGAACATGGCAAATACTGAAAATCTGAGAAAGAACTGAATAATAAAATATTGCTATCAATTAACGTCAAGACACAGTGATATTGAGCAGGTATCCTGGTATGAAAGGAAACAATTTTGGTCCAGATAATTTTTAGCAAAGCCTGTCTTTCAAATTAAGCGAGTCTTCACAGTGTTTGAGCGCCTGGGTAACAAGGACTCGTTTGTCTCACAGCACAGCGCCTGCTGAAGTGTGCAAGATTGGAAATGAGCAGGCAGAGGGTAGGAGCCAAAGAAAGTAGTGTAAGGTATTCATTGGGTGTTCAGCCAATACGCTTCATGCTCCTGGGTCCAAGAGCCGGGGGTTATTTTTTCCAGATGGCGTCTATTTGTCTAACAGAAAGAAAATCTTCAAGTTGCACTTGCTAAATGTTGTACAACTTTTGATATATTTGCTTAGGTGCTGTCAGAAGACATGATGAAATGAAGAGCTACTTGGAACATCTGGAATGGAGACCTGGGCACACAGAGGCACGTGTAGGTTACAGGCTGGGGGTATATGAAGGGAAGGTTTGATTCATCTGCAGATCATTTCTCTGAAATCGCCAAAGTTCTGCTAAAAACACAAACAAAATCACCAGCTCTAAAAGTTCAATCATTACTTAACCAAAGTTTCCCCTTTACAGCATATCTCTCTCATCTAAAAAACATATTAGTGCTTTATGTCAAAATTATAAGATTGATTAAATTCCCACTATGTCATCTATTTTAGACCTTGTGGCTTATAGATCTAAACCATCAGTTCTGGTACAAATATTCATATAAGAAGCATAAAAGATGTGAAATTGGGGGAGGGAGGCATGGAGGAGAGAGGAAACATGTTTATTAATTTTGATTTAATATAAAACACTGTATTGAGTCATTGACGATGCCTTCATTTAATCCTTACAATAATCCTTTGTGTAGCTATTATTACCCTGATTTCCTGAAGAGAAAATTGAGACTCAGAAATTAAATACCTTGCACTAGACTGATAAATATTCAGCCCACTACATATGAGGGATGAATGTATGAAGCAGGAAGGCATTTTGATGCTGTAATATTTACATAAGTATTTTAATTGCTAATATTTTATTATGTAGAATGATATAAAGTTGCCAATACTCAACTGTTTCTGATGAACAAAATTTCATAATTTAAGAATTGGTATTAACATTAATATCAGATCTTTTCTTATCCCAAATTCCACCCCAATGCTACCCCACTAAAATATTTACTCTATATGAGCACAAGAAATTATAATTTGTCTTTTTGTCAATATTTTAAAGACTGAACTCATTGATACATATATTTTAAAAAGTTAATTGGTATCTCTTTGAAACTTTCCTGGACAAGGCACAATTAAGGCCAGCAATAAAGGAGAAAGATGTTTTATAAATGTCATTAAACCTCTGAAAAATCCATGGATATTCTACCCATGGTATACCATAAAATTGCATTCTAGAATTTTTCCAGTAGTTACATCTTAATTTGTGGTGTTCTAAAGGAAGGTTTAATTGGTATCGTTTTACATTCAGTGATAACAATTATACTGCAATTTAACTAAGCTATATGGTTTGCCTTCATGTAATCACACATTAATGTTATTTAATCCATGCATTTATACACCAAGACCACAGATTCCACAACTTAACCAGTAATAGGCAGTTATGTGGATCAAGAATTTTAACAACATAAGGTTACCTAATAGTTTCTGTTCTTTTTGTTCAAAGTCATGGTATTCCATAAGCCTACTAGTATTACAGTGTAACTGATGCCATATAAAAGCATCATGGCAGTTGTATAAATGTCAAAATGTCACAAAATCTATAAAAACTTCAGTGACAGACTAATTGCTCTAATTCCTCAACAATGATTTCTATGGCATACCATCTTTATTTTGATTTTTAAAAACTTAATAGAAATGTTTGACTTAACAGTAAGTTATACATTAGAAACAATTTGCAGTTTTGGGAGGAATGTATTAAATAGGATATGATTCAATATTTCCCCTTATTTTCTGTGAAGCTGCCTGGTTAGAATCAGCGTTCAGTGTTTGTTGAATGAATTAACAAATGAGTCACTAAATGAATGCATACATGAGTGAAGGAATACTAAAACGACTCTTTAAAGGCACAAAGTGTGTGGATATCCCAGTGTTATTCCATGGGCTTGAATACGCATCTTGTATTCCCGAGACTTTGCACTGGTCAGTTGATGACATGGTATGTAACGTTCATCTCTCAGCATGTCAGGAAGCAAAAAATATCCTGTGAGAGATGTAAAGGCTTGAGCAGCCGGAAGACAGCTGGGGCAGAGAAGTTTGGTGCCCTTCTCTGGCCATTGGTCTGTCCCCTAAAAATGGCTTGCACCTACCATTCTATAGTGACAGAGGTCCCAGAGGGTTTGGGTCTTCCTGGCTCTTAGAAGTTGTTGGAACCTAATCCCCATGCAGGTAGAATGTCAGCTAAGGACTTGGTGGAAGCCTTGGTTCCATATCAGATCTCATGGCCCATGGCTGGCAAAGGGCCTCATTACACAAGTGGGCATAGAGGGCCTGGGAGGGTACTCTGGTCATAGAAACAGGAACATTGGTGGTGAGACCCGAGGCTGAGTAGTCAGAGAAGGTGACACAGTGGGCCTCCTGCGCTTGTCTACTGATTCGGGGTTCTTCTCTGACTTGGGCTCATGTTTCTCCTGGAAGTCTCAGTGAGGCCAGGAGTTGAAAGGTTCTTTCGTTTTCCAACTCTCTTGGGACCAAAGATCAATTATCCTACCCAATACCCTTGCCTACCCCATGAGACACAGACAAGGTTTTTGTTGTTGTTCTGCTTTTAAGCTGAGTTAGGGACCCCCAGTGAGTCAATCCATACCCTCTAAGGATCTATGCTGAATGCTGGAGAACAGGTGTGGACCTTCAAGATGGTATCATCTTTCTATCACCCTCTTACCCTTCCCAGTCTAGAGACCAGACTTTTACCAGCAGTCTGAGCCATACGGCTTCCCTTCTCCCCAAAGATTGATAAAAGTCAATGTTGACCATCTGCACAAATGGAGAGAAAATATTTAGGAATCATGGTATGAAATTCAAGCTAATACTTTTAATGTTATCTTGGATCTTCACCATGTTAAAGAAAGGTAAATTGCAAATAAACATGCAAAATGATTTGCTCAAAAATATAGCCAGTCTGCAGGATCCAAATGATTAAAAAACTTAAGATTATATTATTGCTACATAACCAGATTCTCCTTGATCTTAAGCTACTCACTGGTCCTAGACACAGGAGAGTCTCATCATATTGCTGGTGCTGGGATATATCATACACTGTGCACCCCCGTGTGTCCAGAGAGCAGGAGGCAAGGGTCATGGAACATGGGTTGGAATGGGCTGTACGATCACAATCTTTGGCGAATTCTGGAATATATATGAACTTTTCAGGACCACAAGAGGACTACTGAAAGCATTAAAGTAGTAATTTCAAAATATAGCATAATCTTCCTAAAGAGAGTATTTTTCTAGTTGTAAAGATGGATTCAATGACTATTTCAAGTAATTTTCTTAAATGCTTACCATTGGAATTCGCATATTGAGCTTATAAAGTGCGACATCTTTCTTGATGAGAAGGAGATGGATTTTGGTCTGATTGAGGGGCCTCATAACGATTCCCTCAGTGACTGATAAGAATGGCCACAGAGCATGTCGGAAAGAATTGAGGCTCTGGAGTCCAACAGAAAGGGACTGCAGCCCGGTTCTTTGAAGCATTTATTTGCATGAATTCTTAGGCAAGTTCTCACTCCTTGTGAGCCAAAGTTTCAAAATCTGCTCTATGGGGTTCTTATGAGCATTGAAAACAAAAAACATAAGATAGTTAAAGAGCCCAATAATATATGTCTGCCACAAAGAAAGTTCTTACCAATGGCAGCTTTAGCATAGCTCCAGTTATTGTTAAATGGGTTTATGTATGCCAGAGATGGGTCAATACAAGAGAGACAACTATGGACAGCATTGGAGAGAATTCAGACAGCATTATAAAGGAATTTCAGTACACTTGCTATTGATCACACCTCTCCTATTGAAGC